CCCTTCAGCGAACTCAACTCATTTGAGCTGTTAGAAGCGGCCATATTTCTGGAGGGATTTTGAGTTCAGCTTTCTGACTGTGTGTGTGCCTCAAAGTCTTCCTCTCCACGGGACAGCGCTGGACTGTGTTCCAGAGGTGCAGACCAGGACGCAGAGGAAAACCAGGAGGAAGTGCAAGGGAAAAGGCCCCAAACCATGGAATCAGTGGATCTGGCTTGAGACCAACCTCAGAGTCAGGTTCCCTGACTTGGTCCTCTGTGAGATGACTTCAAATTCTAAAATTTTACAACGACGACTCTACATGTTTGCTTAAGCAACACGGCCATGTGTGGCTTCATTGGTCTTGTGCTGCTCACTCCCGGATGGGGAACCTCGAGGCGGCCCTGCCTCCATTCTGCGGTTCAGGTGTTTGGGAATGTGGTAGTGGGAAGAAAAGAAATGACATTTCATGTAAACACGGAGAATGGATTTTTAGTACATGTGTTTGACACGATATATTTGGTGAGTGAGTACAAAATTGAAGAGAGTCTAGAAAGTGAGTCAGACCACTTGGAAATTTAGTGCGAACAATTCTTTAAGCAGCAGGCCAGGCGCAGCCTGAAGGTCAGCCCCCACCCCCCACCCCCGACGTTATTCTGGGTCTCGGTATCCTTGACCCCCACGTGCAGCTTTGTATCATGAAATAATATTTAAAAACTATTTTTTCAGACTTCTTATTAGCTCATGATGTATGTGTGTCTGATTTAAATGTTGTTTAAAGACATTTTCTGTTTCGTTTGGTTTCACAAATGTCAAGTGCTAGTACAATAAATAGCAGGGAGCAACCAGTTTTTTGAAGTAATGTAACTTTTTAATCAAATATATTTTTTTCTGATAATAACCTGTTTCATCAACTGCATTCTGTCTTTGCCATCCTGTAAGTAATTAATCTCTGGTAAATAATGTATCTTTTCCAACCTCAGTCCACTCGTTTATTAACTATGTCCCCATGCCGACACAGGACATTGTGTACATATGGCATGGCTCCATATGGAAAATGGATGAGAAATTCACTGAATGCTACTTTTTTTCTCACATAAAGTGAAAAAAATACTTGGAATGATTACTGTGTTGACCACTCAACCTTCCTATAACTCAGTAATTCCTTTTAAATGTTCTTCCAAACCTGTAACTCTTAGTATTCTGTTCTATCTTGAACCACTTTTTCCTACTAGCTGTTAAAGTGCACAATCAAAAAACTTTCAGACAAAACTCGTTTCAGACAAAAGTTTTTGATTGTTAGGATGACTTAGCTCTTTGGAGCCAAAATTGAAGTACAATAAAGTGCACAGGTGGCCACATTGGAAGGAAATTAATTAGTGTTGGCGAAAGTCACAGCACTTGGGAGAACTGAGCAAACCGTCTTTTGTTTTCAAACGACAATAATAACACTATTTTCTGAATTCTACAGCCAAGTCATGGAGGTACCTTTTATGCCTCTCCCTAAATTGGGGTCACAGAGGGCTTGGAAACGTGTTCTGAGATAAGTCCAGAAAAAGATGAACTTCCTAGTCCCTGGCTAATAATGGAATGGGGCATGAGAATGTGTGTGTTCACACACATGTGCACATGCGTGTGTTTCCTAGAGTAGACACCCAATCTACAGCCAGCCCTTTCACGTAGTCAAATCTCCTGGGACAATGATAATGCTAAAATCTCTAGCTCTGCCTGCAGAGACCCGCAGGCGGCCAGCCCAGGCACCTGGGAGTCAGCCCACAAGCACACTTCGTTTGCCTCTGTGCTGGTCAGGGCGCAGCACAGTGAGGGCACAAGTACTGTGAGGCACCGCACTTTGGTGTGCAACGTTGTGTTTCTGGTCCTTGCACTGATGGTTGGTTTTGCCCATCACCCTTGCTCATATCCAGCCTTTACATGATTTCTAGGTCTGGCAGATTTGAGGTAGCTTGTGTTTTAGGGAGCTGTTTGAAGGATCGACATTCATTCTGAGGACCAATCTTTCCTGCAGGGAAATTAATGTTGTGTCAGTTACTGCCATCTCCCTAATGAAGAAGAAGATAGTATGTATTAAGGAATGAAAGCAGTTAATAATATTAGCATCGATTGACCTGTTCTGGGTACCCTTTCCAGTGCTGTGCATGCCTCATATAACTGCATTCTCCACGACTCCTAATTAACATGACCCCCGTTTCAGAGGTAAGAAAACGGAGGGCAGGTAATTCAAATGATTTTCTCCCAGTTACATAGCGACTAAGTGGTCGATTGGTAATTTAAACACAAGCTGTCCGACTTTGCAGCCTGGCTTCTTTTTCTTTGGCAACATCACACATCCTGGGTGTGTTTCACTGCCGGAGTCTAGCACTTAATGCTCTAAAACCCAAGGGGTCAGATTCCCACAGGAGAAACTTCTCAGCCATCTCTGTGATTTAGGCGCAATGTAGCTTTGCAAACGAATCTTTTTATAAATTTTTTATGAATTGGATGCTTTGTCCAAAGTGGGTCACTGGCTTTTTCTCAAATTCATCCTCGGCCTTTTCATGCCCACTCATTTTCTAATGCTTTTTGCTCTATTTTCGAGGCTTCGGCTTTTTCACTCTCAATCAGTACCACTCCTACCCTCATCTCCGAGCCCACTTTAAGTACAGACGTTTCTGTGAACGCGTGCGGGTCTTTCTGCCCAGATGAAATCAATTTCTTTTATTTCACTTTGCTTGGACCTGTCTTAAAATCTGTGGTTTATCCTTACTGGTGCTCCCGTCTTATCTGCTTTATGGGGTTATAAATTCTTTCAAGCTGGTGCTGTGCCTCAGGCATGAGGGGCACCTAATGACTGTTGAATTGATTCTGAGGACCCCAGCTGGTGTCTTGGCAAATGAGTCACAGAGGTCGTGAGAGAACAGCAGATACCTTGCCCTCCCATTTCAACGCTCAGAAAACAAAGCCAAGTCCTAATGCTGACGTGCCAGGTGCAGAGCCTCGCTGTAGTTCAGGTGTATCACCCTGGCCTGGTGGCGCACCGGGAACGCTTCCTGCCGCGTTCTCCTTCCATCCTGCCAACACCCACTTTCTCCCTTGGGGTTCTCATTTCACCAAGAAATGGTGTCCTCTCCCTACGCGCTGTCATCTTTGCTGTGCCCAAAGGCAAGTTCACAGTATCTTTTCCCCGGAAAGGTTTTACTCCTCATTACCTGGAGAATGCAAGGGGTATGAGAAAAAAAATGTAAAGAAATTAAAAAGCTTCAGTAGCTCATTGCGACTTTTTTAGTGTGGGTCCTGCCGGGTTGTGTCTTCCTTTTGCGGAGATTAGAGATTCAGAGTTATCATAGACTTTTCTCAGGCTTTGTTCTTTGAGGCAGGGGGCGGGCACGTTCCTGAGAGAAGTAATCATGCCAGAGAGTAGAAGTCCCTTCAGACGCCCCTCTACATCCAGGGAGGCAGGGTGGCACAGTGATTAAACATTTGTCTTTGGGGTTAGCAGACCCGGGTTCGAGTCTTAACGTTACCGCCTGTGCAGATTTATGACACCGGAAAATTTATATAATGACTTTAAGACCCAAGTTCCTTCTGTGTTAAAAGAACGTACCATGGGGCATAGATCACGGGTGTGGAAAGTTTAAATGAGATGTGCGTGGAGAGGGCTGCGGGTAGGCAGCGCTGCTCCTCCCCATTACCCAGTTTTCTAGTTCTAATCACAGGGGAGGTTAGCACTTTCCCACGCCCTTGAAACTGATTGAAACTGAGAGGTGTCACGTGACACAGGCAGTGGCACCCGCGGATGGGTAATGGGTGTCGCTCCCAGGTAGGCATATTTCATTGCTGGGGCCGGTCTTCCCAGTCTGCCCTTTCCTGGGCAGGAGCGCACATCGCTACGGATGCCACCCTGAGGGTATGGGAGCCTGACAACCCAGGAGCCCAGAGAAGACTCTGGATAAAGACGAATAAGCCTTTGTGGTCTCTAGCTTCTGGAGTGGTGTGTGTATTTGTCACCACAGAGTAATCTAGTCTATTGAGACTAATATAGTGCGTCAGGGAGACTCAGGCAGAGCGAACACTCAAAACTGGGGAGTTAAAAGTGGCTCGTTTGCACTCCCTGGGCTCACTGCTCTGGGAAGTGCCCCTTGTCCGTGGCCCCGAACCCAGTTCCACATGGGAATGCCCCCTCACACTTAGCCCCAGTGGATGAACTTTCAGGAAAACCCTCCTTCACACAGTTTACCAGCATCAGACAGCACATTGTCATCTAACGTCTGCCTGGACAGAATCTGTTTGCTTCGGTAAGATCATTAGAACCCCTGTGGGGTAAACTTCTCACGGGAAGGCCCAGCGTGTCCTTCCTCGCACGCAAAGGCCAGTCCCAGTCTCCCTGGCCACAGCTGTTCTAGCAGCAGCAGGCGCCGAAGCACCCGCTTAATCTCCATCTCCTCCTCCTTCCTTCTCCGTGTGAAAACGTTGCTATGTGTCTCCTTGCTGCAAACACCCTTAGTAATGAATGGGTTTCATTCTCCTAGTAGCAGAAGGTGATATTTAAAAATCCCAACTCTCAGAAACCAGTGGATCCCATGACTGAGGAGGGGTCACTTCCGAGGGAGTGGTGGACGGTGATTTCAAGATGAAGTGTGCGTTAGAGAGAAGACCGCCCACGGCTTCTCGGGGTCAAGCATAGGCCTGGATGTAGCACGGTCTGCTAGGTGACTGGTCAAGTTTCATTTTGAGCCAGCTGCCTGGGGCTTTTTTCTCATGGGATTGTGAAAAGCCTTTCACATTGTGCGGACTTCACCTCTTGACCTCTCCTGTTTGTTGCAACCTCGGCGCACACATCCTGCGGTTTCCCTTCTGATGACACTTATGTTTTTGCGACACGAATCTTGCATTGCATCCTAGCTCTGCCTCTGCTAACATATGTAACTCAGGACAAGCTGTGGAACTTCCCAAGTCTCTGTTGCTCCATCCACACAATGGGAGTAATAACGCCTGACTCACTAGAACGATGAGAAGCGTGGCTGGAATGACAATGGGACTTAGGAGGTATGTAGCCAGAGGTCAGAGTGTAGTAGCTTCTTCTCTTTGTTTGAAAGCTTTCCTGGGATAGCAAGGTTCTGGGCTTCGCTATTCCATCTGGTCTAAAGGGAACGATGACATAGGCATGTTCATTTAATTAAAATGACTTTGATATTTCTCATTTCAGAACATTTAGGTAGACTCCTCTACCTCCTTTATATGTGGTTCTAGCAATTTGCAGTTAGGATGTACTCGGTTAGCCAAAGTCAGCCGGAACTTTTCTACATCAAGATGCCAGTTCTTAAGGCACTTGTATTAACCTTACAGTATTACTACCGAAAAAAATTGCCAATATTTATTGAGCATGTACTGTTTGCCATATAAAATTCTAAGTATATTATATAAAATATATTTATATATGATATGTATAACATATAGAGTTGTTTAGGGGTTCAGAGCATATTATGTGTGTGTCCGTGCACACACAAGCACACACTCACAGTTCTGTGAAAGGTATCGTTACTGCCACCACTGTATCACCCTGAGTTCAGTCGGGAGAGTTATTTCTTTTGACAAGAGAAAGTTTAGAATAAGGCCTGAAACCAAAGCGGTGGCCCTGAGGTGTCCCAGAGGCGGTAAGTGCACCTGCAGGCTGTGTGGGGGGGTGGGGGAGGGAAGAAGCGGGGATTGTTCAAACGTGAGCGCCTGGCCCCAGCTGGTGTGGCTCAGGTCGTTGGAACATTGTCCCATAAAGTGATAAAGTGATCTCTCTCTCCCTCTCCCTTCCTCTCTCTTTTTCTAAAAACAATGAAAAAATGTCTCTGGGTGAGGATTTAAAAAAAAAGACTTAGGAGCCTGAAGGTTTTGGTGGAGGGCGTGCTCCCCAGGCTGGTACTCACCTCTGGACAAAGTGCACTGAGACTGATTCCGGGGGTGGGAGGGGGTGGGGAAGTGGGGGGGGGACTGAAGCAGGCACGCGGTGCTGCTGTCCCAGGCTGTCACGGGAGACCCAGTGCTGCGGGTGAGGCGGCTGGAGCAGGAACAGAGCAGGCGGGCCGTGCTTCTTCTCTGGGCTCTGAGTCCCCCCTCCGGCACCCCTCTGAGCAGGGCCTAACCGGGATCCCTGCGGCAAAGGAGAACCGTGGCTTCCAGAGTTCCAGCTCCTGCATCAGAAAACAGAGGGAAACCGAGAGATGACGTTTTGCGAGTCAGCACCCTTTACCCTTTTGGCTATTAACAACCTATCTACACCTGTCTCCGCATAATTAAATTTCCATGCAACCATAAAACAGCTTTCTGCTTCCACTGAAAAAGGTGATATTATCTCTCTATACAAACTTCACCCTCTCAACAACGTCAGGAGACGCCAGGTTCCAAGAGTTACCGCGGGCCTCCCTTCGGGAGACAGAGCCGCACCTCGGAGGCTCTGAAACGCAAGCCAGGCCGCGGTCGTGGGTTGTGCGCAGGCAGCTGCACCCAATTTCAGGGGAAGGACCCGGTGGACAATGAGGGCCAGGCGCGTTTACCTTCCCAGTGATTCCCCTCGTCTGTTGACCCATAGATATGCTGCAAAGTGTCTCCTCCGCCTGTTGGTTTTCAAACTCATTTTCAGCTCCCCGTTGGCTCCCACGCTGTCTTCCTCTTCTCTCCCCCCCAACCCCGCCCTGTTGTCTTTCTCCTCTTTCACCTTCCCCTCCCTCCTCTCCTCCTTTTCCTCCTCCTCTTTTATATTTGTGTATATTTTTATCAACTTGAATTTTTCTAGAGTAAATTAATATATGAACATACAAATGAAAAAAAGTTTGCCATTTTTTTCCACAGAGATGTCATGTTTGTATGTTTACCTCCTGGGGTAAAAAAAAATTTTTTTTCTTAGTCTAGTTGATAATTTTTTTTTCGCATCTTTGCTAATATGATGAATAGAGAAATTGTATCTCCTAATTTACATTACTTTAATTTTTTTCACGTAGATTTCATTGATCTCTTATCTTCTTATAGAATTGTCTTCCTATCCATTAGATATTCTGAGATTCTTGGTGGATTGTTCTTAAAAATTTGATGAGTCCTACATATATCAGAAACAAATATCCATTTATCAGTGTCTCAGTTTTACACTGACATTTTATTTCTTTTAACATTTTATTTCTACAGTTTCTGCTATTGGATTTCAGCCCCGGATCAATCAAAAACAGTTGAAATTTCTCAAGAAGCTTTTGCTGCTGATATTACTGAAAGCATACAGAATAGGTTAGGGATCACCAGCCAGGTGTTCAACTTGTACTGAAGACTGATGGGCACGTTAACCGTTCCAATGTAGTTTTCGTAGCTCTCTGTCTGTTGGTTGGTACATTTTACCATATAAAGGGGAGCTCACATATGACTGTGTGGCTTCATCCTTCATGGTGATAACATGGCAACAGCTTTGCTTAGTCTCTAGTCTGCAGGAACCAGAAACAGACTGAGTGCTTGCCAAGACCTCACGAAAAGAGCGTTCACAAACTTGGCTGGCTGTGGTGCCCCTTGTGTTGTAAATGTTCCCGGAGATGGACCCTGTGAGCGAGGCTTCCCGCCCTGTGAACAGCACGTCACCCAGCAATGGCCCTGTCCTCCCAGGTTTGGCAGAGGCAGCAGAGACTTGGCTTTGGACTATGCCCAGGGGGAGATACTAGGGAAGAGGGCATCAAGCACTCTGCCAAACTGCTTGCTTTTTGCAATGCGACACTTAGGAGCAAGCAGTAAAAAAGAAATAATCATACACATCACTGCTCTCTTCTTCTTATTGAAGATGAGCATATTTAACAACGAGGTCAGGCACAACGTGGAGCATTTCACTGCATACCTCAATACTGGCAGAGGTGAAAAAGGTGGTTTGGCTTCCACGTCAGGGTCAGGTCAGCTCTGAACAATGTTGGACCATGAACTTCAGTTGGCTTGACTTCCCTTTCAGTGGCCCATCACATAATCTCGGCTGCCTCTGTCATTGCCACTCAGGGGCAGCCCCTTTTTAGTAATAGAACACATCTACCTGCTGTCACTCGCTCCTCCCCCAAGCATTTATTTTTTATCTGAAGTAGGTACTTATTATGCTGGGTATGAAGGGTTTAGTATTGTAGATGCTGTAAGTATGAGAAAACCAATTTGAATGCTCTTCTCACAAATATTTATGCCCCTCATAGTTTGGAAGTCACAGGAATTCAGTTTGCTTTAAGAAGGATGGAATTCCAGAGTGACATGGTGCCATCAGGATCTGCTCTCTTCCCCTCTGTCTTCCTCTTTGAGCTCTTTGTCCCCTTTGCCAGGTTTCATCTCAGGAAGTTTCTCTCAACGTGTCAGTGAAAGAAAGAAACCGCTGGCGATTTCTGGCTTACGCTGTCCATTCAGATTTTAATAGCACAAGGAGATAGACTGTCTTCAAGTGGCCCAATCCCCTGAAACAGGGCTGTGGTGGGTCCTGCTGAGGGCATGTGCCCACATCCTGAGTGCAACAGACAGGTCTGTGTGATGGAGTATCATCACGGAAGAGAGTATGGAAGTCATTAAACAGTAAGAAGATTATACCCTTAAAAGAAGACAGAATCTTTATGCTCAAAAAGAGCATAACAGTACAGCCTAACAGGACCAAAAGGCAAAGCATAATAAGGGTTGTGATAGAAATATTTTCAAAAACCTATGAAACAATTCTGTTTCTGGTGTGGGAGAGTAAGCCCCAAACAGCTGCACCTGTGAGTAACAACTTCACACTCTGTCCAAAACAGAAAAAAAAAACCTGGAGGTATTGGAGAGTGAGTAAGATAAGCATACTCTGAAGGAGAGTCGAAACTTGCAAGAAGGGAATGGAATGGGGTGAATTTCCCATTATCTTAGCTGTTAATCTAAATATTGGTGAGAGCCTAAAACTCTAGTAAAAAGCAGACAGACTTTCTGGCACAAAGAACCAGGGGACAGAGTGCAGGGGAACCACAACTACTTAGAAAGTAAGGGGGTTCCAGAGAGAGAAGGCCCCCGATTTTGTAAATAAATTCTACCCACATCTCTGGCTCACTATGGAACTACACACACGGGGCAGAATTAAAGCAGTGTAGCTAAATGAGAGTGGACCTGAACTTAGATTGGAGCTGTTACCCCAAAGACACTTTGTACCTTGAATCCAACCAAGTTAACTATTTTCTAAAACAAACAAAAGTGTCAATTTTTTTGTAGTCCATAATATCACTTTTTAAGATACCTTAGAAAATTGCTTGATATTTGAAGAACTGGGAAAATATGATCTATTCTTAAGAGAATAAACCATCTACGAAGACCAACTAGAATTAGAACGCATGAATTTTAAAGCAGTTACGTGTAATGATGTAAAGGAAAATAAAAATCACTGGGGGGTCAGGGAGGGCTTAACCAAATGGAGATGACGAAGGGGAGACTCCAACGAGGAGAGAGCCTTGGAACCTGAGACCCAATGCCACATCCGTGGGTACGTACCTGGAATGCAGAGCATGAGACTGATAGGATGGTTCAGGAAAAAACTGAAGACATAAGTGCAAGGGACAGGCAGGAAGATAAATTAGATTACATCAAAATTAAAAACATTTGTGTACCAAAGGACGTTATCAAGAAAGTGAGAAGTCAACAATAGAATGGGAAAAAATATTTGCAAATCATATATCTGAAAGGAATCTAATAATGACATATAAATAATTCTTATAAATTAATAATAAATGAACAACCCAGTTTAAAAATGAGTAAAGGACTTGAATGTCTCCAAAGAAGGTATACAAATGGCCAACAAGTACTTGAAAAGACACTTAACATCTTTAGTTATTAGAGAAATGCAAATCAAACCCACAATGATACATCTCCCACTCACTAGGATTGTGTGTGTGCATGTGTGTGTGTGTGTGTATACAGAAAACTAAATGTTTTGGTGAGGATGTGGAGAAATTGGAGCCCATGCAGATTGCTTGTGGGAATGTCAGATTGTCCAGCCACTGAAGAAAAAAATTAAAAAGAGGCATTTGCTGATGTGCCATGAATGCTCATAGAAGCACTCATCACAACAGCTGAAAGTCGGAAACAGTAGATGAACAGAAAAGAAAATGTGGTATAGATATACAATAGAATATTATCCAGCCATAAAAATGAAAGAACACAAAAGATCAGATATTGTATACTTCCATTTGTATGAAATATCCCAAATAGATAAATAAATCCGAAGAAACAGAAACAGATTAGAGGTCATCAGGGGCTGGGTGAAGAGGAGGCTTAATAGGTACAGGATTACCTTTGGGGGTGATCAAAATATTTTGGAATTAGAGGTATGGTTGCACACCATTGAGAATATATTAATTGCCATCAAATTGTATACTTTATAGTTACTTTTATGTTATGTGAATTTTCCCTTGATATAAATTTGAAGAATGAATGGTGGATATTCTTCCAAACTTGGTCGAAAACATAAATATGGTAATTCAGAAAGTTCAGTGAACTCCCAGCAGAATAATTAAGATGTGAACCGTGCCTAAGAAGCATTCCAACTACTAAAATCCAAAAATGAAAAAAAAAATTTTAAAAAGAGCTGGAGAAAAAACAACAACAACATACAGGGAAGTAACAATTTAAGACTCTTAAATTATCAAGGCCATAAGACAGTGAGAAACCATCTTTAAAGCTAAAAGAAAAACAAAATTGTCAACCCAACAATCTATGTCCCCTGAAAATAACAATAAAGGCAAATTAAAGACACTTCACGATAAAATAAGACTAAGAATATGCATTACCAGCAGACATAGACTATAAAGAATGCTGAAAAAATTATTCAAGTTATAGGAAAATGATACCTGAAGGATACTCATTAGACATGATAAATATTGTACAAATATATTCTTATTATTTTTAAAAGTAATTTGACTATTAAAAGCAAAAATTCTAACACTTTCTTATCAGTTTTATGATAGAAATATATGTTTTACATGTAACTGTAGCACGGAGAACTGGGTGGGGTGGTAGATGGTTCTATTCAATTCTCAGATTTTCACATTTTACATGAAAGGTACAGTATTAAGCCACAGTGTACAGTGAAAAGTCAAAGCTCTATATTGTAATTCACAGAGGACCAACTTAAAAACATTGCAAAGAGGTATACCAAAAGCCAATTGATAAATTGAGGAGGAATTCTAATGAAATATTACAATGATGCAATAGAAGTTAAGAAGAACAAAGATAAACATAGGGATAAAGAATACAAAAAATAAAATGGTAGAACTAAATCAAATCACATCAGTAATTATATTAGATAGTACGAACCAAACAACTGAAAGGCTAAAATGAACAGAATAGAAAAAAAAAAGCAGGTGACCTGGTAACACCCCTCCTTGGTTCTGTGCTCTATAATAGATGTGATTTACATATTAAGAGGTATGCTGAAATGAATAGAAAGAATTAACATACAAACAGCAAACATAGGTGGGTTAGTGCCTCTATTAATAGCCAATAAAAGTCTTCAAGACAAAGGAATCCAGAGAGGCATTTCATAATAAGTAAGTTAATTTACTGTGAAGATATCAACTCTAAATGCACTTAATAACAGAGTTTCAAAATAGATGAAGCAAAAATGAACAAAGTTAAAAGGAGAGAGAGAAAAATTTAAATAATATTTGGGGATGTTAACACCTGTCACTTAGCAATAGACAGGTGAACAACCAAACACTCAGTAAAGACGTAGGTGCCCTGCCAAGAGCTATCAACCACGTTGCCCTGATGGATAGTTATAGTACAGCACCCCAAAAACATGAGAATATATATTCTCTTCAAGTGCATTTGGCACATTCAACATGACCACGCAGGGGGCCATGAAGCAAATCTGAACAAACGCAAAATTATTGAAATTATACAGAGTGTGTTCTCTGATTACAGAATTGATGGAGGAACTAACCATGTAGGAAAACTCTGAATATTTGAAAATAATATCCTTCTAAGTAATCTACACATCAGGAAAGAAAGTACAAAGGAAACGAACAGTTATTTTGAACTAGATGATAAAATAACAAAGTTAACATTTTTGAGATGCTTAAAATACATGTTTAGTCTTAAATGCCTACATTAGAAACTGAAGTCGAAACTTAGTTAATTTTTACTTGAAGAAATGAGAAAAAGAAGAAGCAAAGTAAGCATACAGAAAGGAGATTTTTCTAATAAAT